CATTATAGAGATGCATCCGCAGGCCGCCCGTTATCCACCCAGCGCTTGTCACACTGGCTGTGTGAGGCCATTTCTGAAGCCTACAGAGCATCAGATCTGGAGCCTCCTGTCAACCTCAAAGCACACTCAACCAGGGGTATCGCATCTTCGACTGCTCTGCATAATGGTATGTCAATGCAGGACATTTGCACTGCGGCTGCATGGTCATCACCCTGCTCATTTATTCGCTTTTACCTACGTGATGTGACGGCTCGTTCCATGACACATTCTGTCCTTAGTGCTCTAACAGAATGAATATTGTTGTTCTCATGGAACTCTGTTTAAGCTCACATCTGTCTGCATGCATTACAGTGTGAGATGTTGTTATCAGCCACAAGTTGTGTCTGTGATTCGGTTCTATTGTCACTAATCAGTTCATGACTATTGTTACCAATCAGTTCATTTGTTCAATAATCAGTTCATTGATATTAATCTGTTTATACTGTTCAATCATGAATCAGTTGCTTCATGCCCCCCCCCCCCCTCCTCTTTTCAATATCTTCCCCGTTGAAGTTTTTCCGGGGCATTCATGCTGTCAGAACGCATAGTTGCACAACATGCGTCTGTGCATGGCACACAATTACGCGATGCGTAATTATGCACATGGGGAACTGAGTGGCAGACGTTTTTTGGGCAAGCTTCCGCTTCTTACTGGGTTCGAATGGACCCAGTGAGGCGAGGACCACATCCGCTTCGCCCTTAACCCATCAGCGACAGCCTTAAAGGGCGAAGCCTATATGACATAGAACGTTGGTTACGTACTGTAACCCCAGATTCTATGAATATAGGCGTAGCCCTTTAAGCGTCGGGCCTCACTGGCTCCTGAATAGCTGAAGAAAAGAATAAGCTATTTGGGAGCAGATTACCCGCTCTTAACGTAATTTATACGGATCGGGTGGGGCCCACACAGCAGGTGGGCGTGGACTAATTTTTTTCAGTACGATGCTTGCGCATAACGGGATAAACCCATCAGCGACAGCCTTAAAGGGCTACGCCTATATTCATAGAATCTGGGGTTACAGTACGTAACCAACGATTTATGATTTGTTGAAATTACTTGAAAGTTGCAGGACGGGAATCACGCTGAAAAACATACGGAAGAAAAATGTATGACAATAGAGTGAATGCTTCATAAACATTCACACAGCTAGAAGAAAGTGGTTCTAACGGGCCGTGGTTGGTCCAGGTCACGTGACGGTGGCTCTGAATTTGTGTTTGCTGCAGGCGTTTAAATGACTCCTTCTCCAGAACGGGCTCTGCATGCAAATCAGTCAGCTGAACAACAAACCGGGACATGAGCAGGTCACCTGATGTTCCCGTCACATCCACTCCCCTGAACTCTGTCACCAGTGAACCAGTTCACTGGTTCTGCTGATTCACACGTACTGAAGCTTTGTGACAGCTTCAGTCAGCTCCAAAGACAATAAAAATAATGAAACATTGCACTTTAAAGGCAACTCATCCATAAAACCTCCAGGTTTGATCAACGTTATTGTGAGAGAACCTTTTTTTTTTTTTACCGGATTAGAATTTAGACAATCCAGTTCAGTGAAACACTTAGACCAGGGTGCCCAATACGTCGAGCGTGATCTACCGGTCAATCTCACAGGTATTATGGGTAGTTCCCATGGCATGAAAAAAAAAAACAGATGTCAGCCTGTCATCCATCCTCATTATGAAATTTGTTACTTGATCCACATGCAGGGCAGCCAGTCACAGCCCTCTCTCTCAAACCAGGTCTCAGAGTGGAGATATTCTTTGGGAAAAGCCCCCACCTCCATCCACCCCAGGTGTGAAATTCTCGGTGTGTGAAGTCTCACATACAGGCGGCTGCAGTCCAAAGTTTTCCTGCACTAACAACAGTTATAATAAATGTAACAACGGTTATAATAAATGTAACAACGGTTATAATAAATGTAACAACGGTTATAATAAATGTCAGAGAGCAGAGTGTTTTTGTGCTGCTCACCCTTTTTCAGCATGTAGAAGTAAAACTAATAAAATCCAGGGTCCAAAGAGATCTCGGTGTGTTCATCATCAGTTTAGACTAACTGTCATGCAGACGCTGCATGTGCAATGAATGCAGCTGAGCCTCAGGGTTGCCAGATAAATTTAAAATGTCTTAATTACCCCCTTATTTCTCGTCCGCCTTGGACGAGAAAGAAAATCTACCACAGTGTACAAACCGAATTCCAAAAAAGTTGGGACACCAAACAAATTGTGAATAAAAACTGAATGCAATGATGTGGAGGTGCCAACATCTAATATTTTATTCAGAATAGAACACAAATCACAGATCAAAAGTTTAAACTGAGAGAATGTATCATTTTAAGGGAAAAATCTGTTGTTTACAAATTTCATGGCGTCATCAAATCCCAAAAAAGTTGGGACAAGTCCATTTTTACCACTGTGTGGCATCCCCCCTTCTTCTTACAACACTCAACAGACGTCTGGGGACAGAGGAGACCAGTTTCTCAAGTTTAGAAATAGGAATGCTCTCCCATTCATGTCTAATACAGGCCTCTAACTGTTCAATCGTCTTGGGCCTTCTTTGTTGCACTTTCCTCTTTATGATGCGCCAAATGTTCTCTATAGGTGAAAGATCTGGACTGCAGGCTGGCCATTTCAGTACCCGGGTCCTTCTCCTACGTAGCCATGATGTTGTGATTGCTGCAGAATGTGGTCTGGCATTATCGTGTTGAAAAATGCAGGGTCTTCCCTGAAAGAGATGATGTCTAGATGGGAGCATATGTTGTTCTAGAACCTGAACATAGTTCTCTGCATTAATGGTGCCTTTCCAGACATGCAAGCTGCCCATGCCACAAGCGCTCATGCAACCCCATACCATCAGTGATGCAGGTTTCTGAACGGAGCGTTGATAACAACTTGGGCTATCCTTGTCCTCTCTGGTCCAGATGACATGGCGTCCCAGTGTTCCATAAAGAACTTCAAATCGTGACTCATCTGACCACAGAACAGTCCTCCATTTTGCCACACTCCATTTTAAATGACCCCTGGCCCAGTGCAAACGTCTGAGCTTGTGGAGCTTGCTTAGAAATGGCTTCCTTTTTGCACTGTAGAGTTTCAGCTGGCAACAGCGGATGGCACGGTGGATTGTGTTTACTGACAATGCTTTCTGGAAGTATTCCTGAGCCCATTCTGTTATTTCCTTGACAGTGGCATTCCTGTTTGAGGTGCAGTGACGTTTAAGGGTCCGGAGATCACGAGCATCCAGTAGAGTTTTACGGCCTTGACCCTTACGCACAGCGATTGTTCCAGATTCTCTGAATCTTTTGATGATGTTATGCACGGTTGATGATGATAACTTAAATGTCTTTGCTATTTTACGCTGGGTAACACCATTCTGGTGTTGCTGCACTATCTTTCTGTGCATCAATGGTGGAATTGGTGATCCTCTTACCATCTTGGCTTCTGAGAGACACTGGGTATAAAAAGAGCTTCTCAGAGTGTCAATCATGTTGTCAGTTGACCTAATTAGTGTTAATTGGTCTTCCAGCTGTTCGTTATATGCTCAATTTCCTTTTTCCAGCCACTTATTGCTACTTGTCCCAACTTTTTTGGGATTTGTTGACACTGTGAAATTTTGAATCAACATATTTTTCCTTTAAAATGTTACATTTACTCAGATTAAACTTTTGATCTGTCATCTATGTTATATTACGAATAAAATATTGACATTTGCCATCTCCACATCATTGCATTCAGTTTTTATTCACAATTTGTTTAGTGTCCCAACTTTTTTGGAATCCAGTTTGTAAATCTTACCAACTTGAATATCTTGCATCAAAAACATTAAGGTTTACTTTAATCTCCTGTTCAATTCCAGTTCAGAAAAACGCTCATCTCAAGAACTACAAACATTCAAATCCTTCAGCGACATCAGCCATGGGCTTGTAGTTCTTTGATCATCCAGTCCACGTCTTTGTGCCTTAAAGCGCCAGTATACTCCTGTGTACATCCGTTCACGCATACGTACACGTGTACTTTACGCAGAGGGTTCAGACTTCATACTCGAACGTCCACCCTGAGCTGCTGCAGTCAGCTCCACAGACGAGGGGCGTTTACCTTCGGGACAAATTGAAGTTGCCGATTGGTCATTTGCTGACACGCCTACTGGATTGATTGACAGGTCGCAGCAGTGTTCTGTGTTTATATGTTGTTAATAAAAAGATCTAAAAACAAACAAACAAAAAACTGGGAGTGCTGGCCCTGCAGCCCACAAATCAGACCAGCCCACCAGGAAGTCTCCAGACCCTCCCGCAGCCACGCTGGACCTGAGTTTAATTCGCTCGTGACAAATTCCTTAATTTCTCACCATTTCGGTCATGGCATCAACGGAGGAGGAAGAGATCACTGCCTCTTGGCAAAAAAACAAAAGAAAAGGCCAGATCAGGGATGAAGAAGGGGAATTTAATACATTGGTGTCGCATACAAAACAGTCCGTCGCCGGACAGTTTATTATGCGACACTGCGTACACGGTCGTAAAAATTGAGCTTTGCACTACATGCCCTGCGGGGGTACGCTCGTACCTCTGCGTACGTACGTGTGTATCTCCGCACATGGACGTACGCGGGAGTATACTGGGGGCTTTAGTCTTCTTGGAGCTACAGGCCCTTTTAGCATCACTTAGTTTGATTCCAGAGGGTTGTTTAATCCGAACACTCAGTCAAATTATCAGATATGAAGATTTAAATGATGCTTGTAAACTGATGCATTTACTAGAACACAGAAATTATACATCCAGTGAGGAAGGGGATGAAAAAAATCATACTTTTGTTCTTTCACACTGTTTCCGTTCAGATTTTAGAGCACTATTTAAACCAGAACACTGGTTTAGTTTTTGTCATGGCAGCAAAAATCAAAGCAGCCCGTTACATCTTCCCTTAATTTTTTATGACGGGCTGAGTTGAAACTGACGGCTTGTTTGCTCTTTTTGCAGGTATATTCTCGCCAGTTTCTATACGAAGTACGATCCGACACATTTCTTCATCAACACGTGCTCCCTCCTCACCGTCCTCCTGCCAAAACTGCCTCAGTTCCACGGAGTACGGCTGTTTGGCATCAACAAATATTAACTGGATCTGAAAACACTGGACTTCTCGTTTCGTGTTCCTGCTGGACTGTTTTCTGTTTCCAAGATGAGACGAGTGTGGAGCGTTCTTAAGAGCGGAGAAACTTTGTGTTGTCAAAGTAAATATATTCCTGATATTAAATCAAAACTCATGTTTTTGTCAAGAGCAAAGCTGCTTTCAGCTGTTCATTCACTTTTTTTTTTTTGCACTGGCTGCAAGTTTGTAAAGATAAGTTTCAAATTCTTGCCATAATTGTGAATTAATCTTTTCATTCATTTTATTTATTTTTTAATATTATTGCAGTGTGTATTTACACATCAAACACTTTGCCTTAATACCCAAAATAAAGTCCTGTACTGTTTGAACGGTTCTGGATATTCACTGTGCAGAAGCCACATGATCCCAGGGAAAAAACACCTGCTGAATTATTTTGTCCAGATTTTTCTTCCCATGTTCGTCCCTCACACGTGGGCCAGTATGAGGACAGCAGGACAGTGGTGAGATGTGCTGTAGGAGTGACCAATAGCTTCAAGGTGGAGATGGGAGTGCATCAAGGATTGGCTCTAAGCCCCTTCTTGTTTGCTCTGGTAATAGACCGACTAACAGATGAGGTCAGGTAGGAATCCCCATGGACTATATTTGCAGAAGACATTGTGATCTGTGGTGAAAACGGGAAACGTGGAAGAGAATTTGGGAGAGGTAGAGGTATGCAAATTCTTCTGCATTCTTTAGTTTGGAATTTTTTTCCCACGTTCATCCCTCACACATGGACTAGTTTTCAAACTTTGGGGAAATCCAGGAACTTTACATGAGGCTACCATGAGTGGGTGTCAAAGGTATATTCGAGGGGTTCTCCCACCCTCCTGCATCAGAGGGAGTTGCGTTTGTATCAGAGCAAGGTTTCCCTGTTTATAATTCATGTTTCAAGGAAACAGCTGAAAAAGAAATGCGGCGTTCGGTGAATGGCATCACGCAGTTTGTGATGTTGAGTGGAGAATGGGAAACATGCAAATAGGACTCTCTGTGTGTTTTCTAATGGTGTGAAATCACTCGGTGGAGTTGTTGGGGTATTCCCTGCCTTCTAACTCCACCAGGACACACTACCGTTGGAGAGAAACCTCACAGCAGCTGGCTTTAAATGTCAGACCTGGCCCGCTGAAACTGCTACACCTGGAGATTGGACAAGTTTCCTTTCTCAGCTGTCTGATTAAAGAGAACATTTATTCCTGGTTTTAGCTTTCATTTCAGAACCTTGAACTGTGATGACTGGCCTGGTGTGTGCCTGTTGGTGGTGCTGAAGTCATCTTTTGAAGACACGATGTTCCACAGTCTTAAGGACACATGAATAAACCAGGGATTCTGCAAGTTCATCGTAGATCTATTTACAACCCTTTATATGATGCAAAGTTAAAAACAAAAAAGTTAAAAGTAACTTGTCAAATTCAGTCCAAATCATTCAAAATTCAACAATCCAGTTTCAGGAGCAACTGGATATATATTTTTTCATGGTGGCTCAGTTAATAATAGTAAGTGTTGTGTGTTGTCATCATTGTATGTTAACGTACAACGGCAAAATTAGTCTCTGCATTTAACCCATTGCACCTGGAACACACCCAGGTGGAGCAGTGGGCAGCTAAGTGCCCGGGGAACAATTGGGGATTAGGTGTCTTGCTCAGAGACACGACATGTGGGCATGGCTGGAGATCGAACCTGGGACTTTCGGGTCCCAAGTCGGCTGCCCTGCCTCTACCCCATCGGTAGAACTGTTGCCTCTCAGCAAGAAGGTCGTCCGTTCAAATCCCGGTCCGGGACCTTTCTGGGTGGAATTTGCATGTTCTTTCTGTGCTGGGTGGGTTTTGTCCAGGTTTCCTCCCACAGACCAAAAACATAAATGTTAGACTGATTGGTAACTAATTTGTCTCTAGGTGTGAGTGAGAGAGTGAATGGTTGTTTGTCTCTGTGTCCCTGTGATGGACTGGAGACCTGTCCACAGTGTCCCCCACCTCTCGCACAGTGGTGGCTGGACATTGGCACCAGTGACACCCCTCTCACCCGAAAAGGAAGCAGGTAAAGATAATGGATGGATGAGTAAACTGAATGTTAAATTTCCTTTAGTCCGGGATGATGCATGATGGGACTTAAGTTTGTTAAAACAAAATTAATAATTGACAAATAATGGCAGCAAATGCATAAAAAGGTTGATGAAAGAAAAATAAATGAACATACAAATGTATGTTCATATTAAGTCCTAAAATGGAAAACCTGGACAAATTTAGAACTTTTTAGGGCCTAAAATTAAGATATTTAAAGACTTCCTACACTGGAGAAACCCTGTAGATACGATTTAATTTAACAGGAAAATCAAGAAAAATCACCACAGATCCATAAAATTCTGCCCAGGATTGTGTAGAACTCAAAGACAACACTTTTTATGAAGCAGTTTAAACTGGACTGACCCGGTTTGATCCAGGTCAGCATGCTCCAGGTCAGTTTAAGAAAGAGCAACACAGACATGATCTTTGCTTGGAGGATGCTTATAAAGAAGTACCAGTACATGTATGAGGACAGTGGTGAGATGTGCTGTAGGAGTGACGGGTAGCTTCAAGGTGGAGGTGGGAGTGCATCAAGGATCGACTGAGCCCCTTCTTGACCAACAGTTGAGGTCAAGCAGGAGTCCACATGGACTTTGATGTTTGCAGATGACATTGTGATCTGTGGTGAGAACAGGGAACAGGTGGAAGAGAACTTGGAGAGGTGGAGGTATGCACTTGAAAGAAGAGGAATGAAAATCAGCCGTAGTAAGACAGAGTACATGTGTGAATGAGAGGGAGGAGGTGGAACAGTGAGGCTACAAGGAGCAGAGGTCACAAAGGTTCAGGACTTCAAGTACTTGGGGTCCACTGTCCAGGAAAATGGAGAGTGTGGTAAAGAGGTGAAGAAGAGAGTCCAGGCAGGATGGAGTGGATGGAGAAAAGTTTCAGGAGTGATTTGTGACAAAAGGGCGGAGGTTGAGAAAAGGTCAAAGGAAAAGTTTACAAGACAGTGGAGAGACCAGCTATGTTGTTTGGTCTGGAGACAGAGACATGGACAAAAAGACAGGAGACAGAACTGGAAGTGACAGAAATGAAGATGTTGAGGTTCTTCTTAGGAGTGACAAGGCTGGATAAGATTAGGAATGAGATCATCAGAGGTACAGCACAGGTTGATAGAGAAAGAGATGAGCGCCCTGCCAAGGTAAGTAACCTCGAGGAAACACTGAGATCAGTGGATGCAGTTAAAGAAGACATGGAGTGAGGACAGAGTGAGGACAGAGTGAGGTGGAGGAGGATGACTTGCCCTGAAGAGGGAAAAGCCAAAAGATTTTAACAAATAGCCAATTTAACTTTTTTTTTTAATAGCACAAAATCATTTTTAAAGAAATCTTCATTATGAGCCATTTCATTTTTTTTATATATTAAACTTGTTAAAAACAAATTTCATAATTTAATCCTGATTTTAATGTAACATGATTTGCAAAGAACTGGAATGATTTGCGTTAAACTTTTATGAATCTTTAGTGTTTCAAATGCACCGCACAGAGAAATGACATTACAAAGTTTGAACACAAACACATTTTATTCAGAATACGTCAGGACGCCTTCCATCGACACTTACTCTAAAATAATTAAGATAAAAAACAAAAATGTATTTTTGCAGCAGAAATCTGAAATAGTTTTTAGAACTGCATCGGGCTGCTGCTCAGAGGAAACACGAGCTGGAGAAACTAATAAAAACAGTCCGGAGGTTTGCTTAAAACTAAAATGTTTGTAGAAAACTAAATGAAAAGTATTCAACAGCTCCTTCCATCAATCTGTTCCTTCTAAGGACAGATTTGGCTTTAGTGCTCCATCTTGGAAAAGATTTCTCTTTTTATTGCCAACAGTTCCATTCTCTTCACCCAGACACTTTTCTTGGGATATAAAATGTCTTAAATCAGCCTGAACTCCAGCCCGAAGGCTTTCTTTATCGAGCTTTCATGTTAGTCCCAACGTCTGGTCCAGACAGCCACGGAGATCTTCCATCACCTTTCTGAAAGGCATTAATGTTTGATTTTGACCCAACTCTCGCTCTCCGACGTCTCACTCTGGTTTGACGTCCTCTTCCTCATCATCGGTGCCAAAAGACTCGTCCTCGAACAGAGTTCCTGCGAGGTCGTACTCCTGAGCGTGAACAGACACCTCGTTTGGCATCAGGTGAGGCGATCCTTCGATAAAATCAGCAAACCTGCAGAACGCGGTGGCAATTTCATCAGTGGGGAAAAAATAATGCAAACAGAGTTACAACTGAGGAAAATATATGGAACATAATTGGATCTGACGCATCTTAAAGGTAACACCACCTTTTTGGAGACTGGAGCCTGGACACTGCCCTCCAGGGGCTGAACTCTGGACTGGTGCAGTATTTCCTCAGCTCGTCCAGAGCCCGGCAAGTTTCCTCCTCCCCCTCCTTCTGATACTCCTCCTCAGTCAGCAGGCGACGTGGTAATGGCTTCCAGTAAATCTGCCGCATCATTTTCCTGCAAAAGCCAAGCGGGCGCATGAATTAGAAACTTGATACAACGTTTAGTATTTTAACTAGTGAAATTGCATTTCCTGTGAAAACGCAGTGTGAATACTGCAGAAGAACTTGATGAAAAACAGCTGAAACTGGCTAAAAACATGCTGAAATGTAGCCGGAATGGAAGAACAAGCCTAAGTTAGCAGGAGAAAGTAGAAAGAACACATATTTACTGAATTAGGTTTAAATAAGCAGCAATGAGCACACAAATTGTGAAATCAGCAACAAAAAAAAAAAAAAAAAAAAGGCAGAAAAGCAGCTGAAAAGGTAGAAAGAAGTTTAAACTACCAGAAGGAAGTGAAAAGAGCTAAAATGGTAAATGGGCTGTAATAGCGCCTTTCTATCTTTTCTGAGATAAGATGAAAAATGTGGAAGTAGCTGAAAAAGCTAAAATTAGCATAAAACAGCTAAATAGTAGCTGTAATAGCAGAAAAAGTTGAAACTAGTAGCAAAAACCTGAAAGGAGCATAACAAGCTGAAATTAGCACAAAGAAGTTAATAAGGCTGAAAGTAGCAGAAATTACCACGAAAAACATGAATTTATCTGAAAACAGCTGAAATTAGCTCAAAATGCTAACACTGGCTGAAAAGGTAGAACAAGCTTAAATTGGCAGAAGAAAGCAGAAATAACACAAGTTTGCCCAATTTGGCTGAAAGAAGCAGAAATGAGCACAAAAATGTGGAAATTATAAGAAAAAAGCTGAAATTAAAAAAAAAAAGCTGAAAAGTAGCTTAAAAAGCAGAAAGAAGCGTAAAATTACCAGAAGGAAAAATAGCACATTTTTGCTGAATTGGGCTTAAAAACATTGAAAAGAGTGGAAAAAATGTGGAATTAACTGAAAAAGCTAAAATTAGTATAAAAACTGCAAAAATATTAGCTGAAATAACTGAAACTAGCAGATATAAGCTGAAAGGAGTATAACAAGCAGAAATTAGCAGAAAGAAGTTAGAAGCACAAAAATGTAGTTAGCAGAAAGATCCTGAAATGAGTAACAGCAGACACAGACCAGAGCTGGTTTACAGGATCTTCTCTTGCAGTTCTCTCACACCACCTACTGGTAATACTTCAGTAGCATGTACCTCCACGCCGCCACTGCCAGAGAGACCGGGTACTCCAGGTTTTTGGAGAACAAAGCTGCCACAATGACAGCAAAGGCAACTTGCTGAATCTGCATTCCCAAGTAAATGAGGAGGAGTCCGAACAGCTGCAGCGTCCATGACAGGATGTTGATGCTTTTCTCATCCACCAGAGGACCGTAACGATAACAGACCGCAAAACTGATGAACCCCACCACGGTTACATAACCTGAGGAAAAACACAGAGTCTTGATTCACACAGACATAAAAACAAACGTTGGTTACGTACTGTAACCCCAGATTCTATGAGTATAGGCATAGCCCTTTAAGGCCTTCGCTTAGTGGTTTCTAAAAGGCGTACAGAGACGCAGGATACCACAGATGTTGTCCTGAATGGGATCGTTCAGTCTCTTACTTCTGTTTGCAGCTGATTGAACACGTTATAAAATCTGCCAAAGGAAAAGAAGTCAAACCATGATGAATTCTACAAATCTGTCAAACATCCCTTTACTTAAAGTGTTCCCAACTTTCATTATGTCCTGATACATAAAATCCTACATTGATAGAACGTGGACTTTTTTCTTGCGACGTCAAGTTGCATAACATTCTGAGTATAGAGAAAGTACAGTTCTATTTCGTATAGGCTTCGCCCTTTAAGGCCTTCGCTTAGTGGTTTCTAAAAGGCGTACAGAGACGCAGGCCTGTTTCACGCCCACTTGTGCCACAGTGGGATTTAACGCTGGTCCTGCGAGCCCTGTACCAGACTATGAATAAGTAGTAAAAGGTGGTAGTAGAGTGCTGTATGAATGTGTGTGAAGTAGAGTGCTGTATGAATGTGTGTGTAGTAGAGTGTTGTATGAATGTGTTGTGTGGAGGTAAATGAGGACACAGATTGTGTTGTAAAGAGCTTTGAGTATCTGGACTAGATAGAAAGGTTCTATATAAGCATAGTCCATTTATCATTTCCTGTTTATCTTTATAAATGATATACAGACATCCGTTGTGTGTTTTTGAATTGCTGAGGTTAAATTTAAGTCATTTTAAAGGATGGTTAAGACCAGATTGTTGTTTTTTGTTTTGCCACGATACAAAAACCTCTAAAACTGAAAGATGGTGGACTTTCCCCCCTGACTGTAGTAATCTAATCTCATAATAGTTATTTGTTGAGTGCAAAAGAAATGTAAAAGAGTTAAATGTTGATGTATTTCTTCTCAGCTTTATAAAGTTCGTGTGAGTTGAGAGTTTAATAAAATGTTGTTTTTCTGACTATTTAACCTGTGATATAAAGAGTTTTTGGTGCATGCTGTTGTGAGTCACCCGAGAGGCCTGAGGAGGAGGCTTGGCCCGCCTCCTCCCGCACGCTATCTTGAGGTTTCTCACAGACTTTAAGTCCAGGTGGGCATGTTTTGTTTACTGGGAGATGTTCCCACGTAATGCAGAGAGTATTAAAGTGTAACACTCAGAATAAGAGTTGGAGTCTGCTGTGGATCCTGATCCGATGCCCAGCCAATTGATGTTACCTTTCTACTCGGACTGAAACGGCTCCCCAGTCGGTGTCACGGTGAGGGGCTTTACATCAATGTTTGATTTGTACTGAATGTACTTGTGCTTTGCTTCACTGTATCTGTGGCAGTTTAATAAATGACACTTATTATTCTAGCAGAAACAGCCTGTGAGTGTTTATTCATTGCTCCGATCATTCCCCGAACCTGTACTTTGTTTAAGATAATTTCATAAAACATCGTGTTTACATAGTCGGTACCTAACGCCATGTGCCAGTGCTCCTGTAGGATTACTTTGAGGTTCCTGAAGACCAGCTGGATGGTGTACAAGCAGAACGACCAGCCGCCAACTACAACTAAATAAAAGGGGCTTTTCTGTGGAGACAAAACAAAAACACTCACTAAAGGTAGTCAAGGTAACTTTACTTACAATATGATGGAAACAGAGTAAATAAATAAGTTACCTTTGGCATGAAGCGTGCCAGAATGAAAACAAGAATGATGAGAGAGGCGACCATGCCCGTACTCATCCCAGCAGAGTAGAAGAAAGCTGGACTCCTGCATGTGTGGTCACAACATCAAGAGACGCGATTACCAACTACAAGTGTCCACTTAAATCAGAAAATGTAATGTTTTATGAAGCAGATACCTGCTAAGAGAGTCTGCAAAGACAAACAGCAAAGCCCCAGAGAAGAACACCAAAAACAGGTAGATATCAAACTCTACAGGAAAAAAGAAAGCTGGTGATTTATGATCGCTCGTTATCCATCCATAAGTTTGTTTTCCCACTTACTGCGAAAAGGTTTGACGGTGTACTTGGCGTTGCCAGTGGGGTCGATCTTGAAGCAGGTCTTTTTGCTGAACAGGTTGATGTTAACGGTCGTTTCATTGTGTCGTTCACGTAACAAACTCTGAAACCAGCTCCAGAAAGTGAAGCGCTCCAGGTCCTGCAGCTCCTCCTCACCCTCCACAGTGTCGACCTTAAATACGTTTGAACTCCACACTTTCACCTGTCACACATTGATGACGACTGACTGAAGCTTGGAAGTGCACGAGTTCAACAGGTAATGAGAATCAGCCGTTTCTATTTCACGCTTATAAAACACAAAATAACTGTTTTCATGTTACTGAACCAGCCTTCACACGTTAAAATCTTTGTGCTGTATTCCAGGTTAGCCTGTCTGTACTTTCACCTTTAACTGAGAGAGTTTCATGCCAGACTGTAAAAACAAAACAATTTCATCTACAAGCCTGTTTTATTGTACGTTTGTGCTTCAAAGTATGTAAAGAACAGCTGTAAACTGGGGAGGGGGCAGATTTAATTTAGAATTGTGTCCATCATTGGAACGATGCAGTTATTTTGTTACATCGTTCATCTCTCTGTGAGCCGTGTTGAAAATTACCAATTTAAAAAAAAATAATCATACTGCTAACGTTTAACAACAGATATGAAAACAAGCTGTTTGGCAACTGGGCGTGACGGTGGTGCAGTTGCTGGAGCTGTTGTCCCTCAGTTGGAAGGTTGCCAGTTCAAATCCCGGCTGGGGGGGGGCTTTTCTGGATGGAGTTTGCATGTTCTCTCCGTGCATGTGTGGGTTTTCTCCAGGTGCTCCAGTTTCCTCCCACAGACCAAAAACATGCATGTTAGACTGATTGGTAACTCTAAATTGTCCCTAAGTGTGAGTGAGAGAGTGAATGGTTGTTTGTCTCATTTGTCTCTGTGTCTCTGGGATGGACTGAGACCTGTCCAGGGTGTCCCCCTCCTCTTGCACAGTGACTGCTGGATATGGGCACTAGTAACCCCCATGACCAGAAAAGGAAGATATGGGTAAAGATGATGTATGGATGGATGTTTGGCAATTCCATTAAACCCAGAGATATTTCAGACTTGTGTAAATTAATTAGGATTATCTGTGTTACAAGTACAAGTTGATCCACCACAATTTTGGAATGTTCCTTACTGAAATAAGGCTGAACTTCACATTTGAAAAAAATTGACCCTCCCCAGCACCCCAAATTGAGAATTGGTGTATTACATTTTCTTTGTCTTGTAGCAGCTGGGAAAGCTTATAGAAATGTACCTGAATTCTTGTCCAGGTTTGTCTCCAGGTTGGCACTACACTGTTCCTGTAGCAGAACCGGTTAGACCCCGACATGACGTACTCCTTTCCATCTTCCAGATCAGTTATTGGAGGTGTGTTACCTGGATTAGACATGCAAAGATGTGTGTAACTCTAATACTCTGTATCACAAAATTTTACTACTTGCAGTAACGCTGACGGTAAGATGCTCCTGTCAGATGAAACTATTTATACCCATCGGCTGAGAGACATCCATCTCATCTTAAAAAACAACGGTACTGCTCATGATTGAAGATAGCATTTTTCAACGCAATCACAAAAACTGCAGCAGCAGTGTTTGATAAACAGCTGTGATGTCCAGGACCTGGACATGATGTGGACATGTCCAGGACCTGGACATGTCCTGTACGGTCAAAGCAAGATCGGTGTGATTGTGAGCAGAATGTGAGATTTTGTATTTCTTGTTTGTTTGTTCTTTGTTTTTTTTTAAACAAATCAAATCGTTTCTTGTCATCCTGAACATTTCATTGTACTGTTAACCTCGTGTTATTCATTCAACCTTTATTTATACAGGTTAATCACATTGAGCCTCGGGGACTCATTTACAAGAGACACCTGAATTTTAACAAAGAGTGATGTTAACAGTGGACGACAACAAACAACAATTAGCCTGCATATGACAAATAAACACAACTTGAATCTGCTGAACATTGATCAATAACATTGATCTATAACAATACGAGCAGAGCTTACTGTCAGATATAATGTTAGAGGTATTTACTCTCATTTACAAGTACAATATATTTGTGGTAACATCCAAACAAACAGCAGCACAGATAAACTATAATGTGGTGATTTATTTCAGACCCAGGCTCATGAAATGATGCGTGGGAGAGTTTTAATTGACATAAAAAGTTTTAGTCTTGATGTATCAGTTTTTATAGGAACACAAAACAGATAAAAATGTTAAAAACATCTAATCCTGCTAAAATGAACTGCAAATGCACGAGTCTCATGACTGTGTAAAATTATACTGTTTACGCTTTTATTGGTTTATTGGTTGATTATTACTGAATCTAAACAAGTTAGATTAGTTTAGTCAAGATAAACGAGTTTCAGCAAAGCTAAACCGCAGCTGTATCATTATTAAAAGCATAATTATGGTCGCGAAATAAATCTACCAAAACAAAGCGAATGTTACAATAAGATCTTGTGCAAATGGAGAATCAGACAACAGTAAAAAGCGAAACAAAATTTATATAATTCGGATACCTCGCAGCTTAACTAGCTAACATTGATTAGATTGAGCTTGTTTTAAAATACAAAGTACAAGACTGATTTTGTTTTTTACAGTTTGTGTCGCAGTTTCTTACCAGTACTCTGGTGTGAGGACCGAGGAGCACAAATTAAAAGCACCGTGAAAAGAAGTAATTTAGTTCCTGTCGACACACAGCCGTTCAACATTTTCATGCATCCCGCCATGATGATTCCACTTTTACCCTCCTCCTCCTCAACGTCAGGACCCGCCTCTTCCGCTTCCGATGGCTCGATGAATGACAGGCCATTCAGCCAATCAAAATGTCAAACGAGTTCATTTTTTTTAATTTCGTAATTTTAACGCTTACGTCACGTACTATTTGTATGGAAGTATTTTTAAATCAAATATTTCGATGACAATTTGTGATTTCAGTGCATTTAACGCAAAGCTCGTTCAACAATAAATTGTTTTCTTATTTTTTACGTTGAACCCATGAGACCAAAACAGAAATACTTGCCCATTTACCTCATGTTCGTGCTGCTGTTCGGCATATTGTTTTTGTAGTGCATAGCGTATTTTAGTTAACGTTTTTCTTAGTTCATATCTTAGATCTTATTACTGTTTTTCTTTTACATTTTATACTTTTGTTGGATGTAACTGGACCCTGCGTAAACAATTTTGTTCCACCCCATGTACCACATGTATGAAAAATAAAGAAACTGACTCTGATTTATGACTAGTCTTTACAATTTATTGAGTGATTCTGATAATAATAATTATAACTGGAACTTTTATCTTTTTTTTGTGCACAAAAGTGCTAAACCCAGATCTATTTATTTGTTTATTTTACTTTTCTGTGCTTTTTCACTAAGTGTATGTAGCTACAACACACAGTTATTACCCATATTTTAGGCATTTTTCTTTTGTTTTTACTTTTTA